GGTCCAAATGATTTGAACATACCCAACAAACAAAAAGAGGGTTTACACATCTGTCAGGTAAGAAGTGCCTTCCTGGCCTTCCTTCACTGACCGGGCTATAGGTCCGCGCCTTCCTTCATGGATAGGGCACTTGAACCTACGCACTGGGTTCGTCCGCGACTGGCTTTGCATCCCAGGCCTCTCAAGAGCACATGCTTCATGAAATGACACTGCCACAAAATCGAACAGCATACGTGCAACGTCTTACAAACTCCTTGCTCCAATCTGCAATCTATGTTTGCCAAACAATGTATACATGAGTATATATATAAATTCAATATTATGTAAACATCGAAAATGCAGTCTGAGCCATGAAGCACTCTTCTCTTATGCTTCCAGGTGTCTATCAATCTGTTTCGACAGCACCAACAATACAAAATTAACAAATAACATCAAATAACACACATGGTAACTTTGGTGAAAAAAACGTCACCAACTTCCTCATATAATATCATTCAGCGGTGTTTCAAAACTGTTTGGTGCCCTTTTCAGAAGGATGGGGTTCGAACGAGCCGAAACATGTCCATCATCTAATGAGCTTGGGCCAGGCCACCAAATCCTAGTATCATTGGAGACTGTGCGAAAAAAGGGAAACAACACGAAGGGTGTGTGTCAGGTATGTGTGTATGATTGTGCATGCACCATTCACATCGACTCACCTTGCTGACCAACCCTAGCTCTCTCCTCACAATCCTGGCACCCAGAGCATACATTTGATTGCATTCTCACACACAAAGGATATTGTTCTCTCGCAACTCTACGTTACCGGTTAGACTGGTGTTAGGGTGTTAGATGGGTCGCCGTTCATTTTGATTCCCGGTAGGTCGACCTTCAGTCTGCAGAGATCGACCCGCGTACCCGCGTACCTGGGAGGTTCATGCAGGTCGAGCCCACGCAGCAGCTATCACCGATGCAGGGCACCGTTTGCGGGGGATGTTCCAGGCGGTTCTCCTTGAGAAGCAATTTGGGTAAGCACATGGAAACCCCAATGGGTGTTTGATTGTATTTGACAACATGGTGAACACTCAATCATACTCTTTGCATTCTCTGTGTGTTGGCAGCTTTCAAACATAGAAAATAACGACACAAAAAACGTTACTGTACCTTACCCTCCAAGGCTCCACCGCTTGTTCGGCCTTCGAGGCCACGATCCCTGCAACCTGCCCAGCCATGGCGGTGGCCATGCTGGCGGGGTCTTGTGCAGCGCAGATCTCACTGAGCTGAGCCACCAGGAGCCACAAAAGTCTCAGCATCCTGCACGAAGGAGCAACACGTAACACGCACGCGTGTCGCGTGTCGCCGTCGACGCGCTACCTGGGTGCCCGAAGGAGCTGGTACAAGCGTCGGGGTTTAGTCACCCGGGTTTGCAGAAAGTCACCCGGCCGCATGTAAACGCAGCATTAGTCAAAAGTCAGCCGGCTTGCGAAAAGTCAACCGTTTTATGTTAAAACACCATGTAAACGCTCTACGGAAACATGTTTGTCAAAACTGCTATACATCAAGAATTCATTGCCCCTGTGCACAAAATAACTATATAGATTTATGTCGAAGTTTGCAGCATTTTGGTGACCGAAGCCCAATCAGAACGCAAGAGTAGGACTATCATGAAGATTAGCCTGCAAACATAGATGCAGCATGCTGAGACTACACGAACCTTTTCTACTTGCTCTGGATTGATTTAAACATATGAAATCAACTTTGTAAAACATTATTTTCGTCGGAAACATGGCTACACTGGTGCGAGTGCCGTGCGAGTCTTTTCGAACCTGACGCAAGTGCCGCGCGGGTCGAGCTATCCACCTACCCATGTCGATTATGTTCAAATTACTTTTTGGTCACCTTCCCTCTAACCTGCATGGAAACGAAGCATCCAAACAATGGTGTTCAACTGCTATTCCAAAGCTTATCTTCCAATCATATTTACATCTTGCACCTAAACCGCATGTAAACGCATCATCCAAACAATGTTGTTGACCTGACACTCTTCCAGTTGTATTGCCATCTGGCATCTAACCCCAGTGTAAACGCAGCATCCAAACGACTTTCTACAAGACCAAACGACTTAACAGCAGGTACTTGTAGAAATAAGATTTGAGATAGATGGGTCCTTAAACATAACTGTGGTAGTCAAATGTGGTCAAGAAAAAAACAAAAACATTTCAGAAGGCAAGCTGTTTAGGTGATCTTTGAGGCGGCGGATTTAAACATTGATTAATTTATACAAACAAATAACTTGATAACTTATTGAAAGCTCGGGATCCGATGATCCTCTGAGGAGCCCTGATGGGACGTCTGGATGGATCGGATGATCCCCTGAGGAGCTCTGATGGGACGTCTGGATGCAGCCGAGTGAAGCACCAATAAGAGGGGACTGCTGTCCACAATATGACACGATAACTGCTGAGTAAGCGCACTGACCCATCTGACTTCTCTACAACAAGTGGATATCATGAGTGGCATTTCATTTCTGGGGATGTTCATTGCCAGAGCTAGCTTTTCATTCTTCATGATGTGAGGAGATCTGATATCCATGGCACAATTATATGAGTCCGACCTTCGCGAACTTTGCCCCAGCGGTCCAAATCAGCCACATCGGCGTCCGGTTGTTCCCCCGTCCTTCCGTGCTCGGCTCCAGCCCGGGCCGGCATTCTTGAAAGAGCTGCGGAACTCATGCCTTTGATCTTTTTCTAAGGTGAATCAACTGAAAAAAAACAATAACGTCACCAGGAGGGTCTTCCAGAAGGCTGTGGTTTCCAGCTGGTTTTCTCCGGCGTGCACCTGTTTTAGCACCTATGAATGCAGAACACGGTAGACCTACGAGTTTTCATGAGTTTTCTCAACCGAACCTGTTACACCGGCCCGCAGAAGTCAAAGCAATTTCAGAAACCACGCCAGTTCCACATGAGACACCACGCATTCAGGAAGTCAAACAAGTCAATGCAAAAACATGTAGATCACCATCAGGACGCAGCGATAAAACTATGTTTGTTTCTATCGTTCAATCTTACTTGAACGCCTCAGAAAACTGTATTCCAGCATGTGGACGCACATCCAACAATGACCAGGAAACGAAGGAATTGGTATGTTTCTTGACTGAGTTCACCATGGGACGCCGTATGATCCACTCCACCAAGTGACGGTTCCCCAAAGCACTGATACTAATCCATGTGCATGCTCCAGTGTAGCTTCGTGATGGTTGTGGTTTGATCATTGGCTGACTTGAGCATGTGTCTTGAATCCCCACACAACCACAGCAACCAACTCTGTCGAGGATTTGTGGCAGCAGCCTGATTCAGGATTCCTTGCCGCGGCCTGAAAGATCTAAATCAGGCTGCGGCAAGGAATCCTGAATCTGCTGCTGCTGCTGCTGTGGTAAAAATAGGGTTCAAGACACATGCTCAAGTAAGCAAATGGTCAAGCCACGACCATCAAATGGATTTTGCAATATTCCCTTTCCTATGCAGCTGCCTTCGATGGCTGAGCCATGTACTGCAAAGACCTGTGCTTGCCATATATATATAGGTCTGCAGCCATTGGAGAGCAGGAAACGAAGGGGTGGCTTGGACGAGGTACCGGACGAGGTGGCGGACGAGGTACCAAAGTACATCCGCCACAGCTCCGCCATGACATGTCTCCACTCTTTTGATGCAGCCAAGCAGCAGCCAAAGACAAGCAGCAGCAGCCAAGCAGCCAAGCAGCAGCAGCCAAGCAGCCAAGCAGCAGCAGCAGCAGACAAGAAGCAGCAACAGACAAGCAGCAGCTGCAGCAGACAAGCAGCAGCAGCAGCAGCAGCAGCAGACAAGCAGCAGTAAGGCAACAAACAAGCAGCAGCAGCAACAAACAAGCAGCAGCAGCAACAGACAAGCAGCAGCAGCAACAGACAAGCAGCAGCAGCAGCAGACAGGAAGCAGCAGACAAGCAGCAGCAGACAAGCAGCAGCTGCAGCAGACAAGCAGCAGACAAGCAGCAGCAGCAGACAAGCAGCAGCAGCAGCAAAGCAGCAGCAAAGCAGCAGCAGCAGCAGCAGAAGCAGCAACAGACAAGCAGCAGCAGCAGCAGCAACAGACAAGCAGCAGCAGCAGCAACAAACAAGCAGCAGCAGCAGCAACAACCAAGCAGCAGCAGCAGCAGCAACAGACAAGCAGCAGCAGCTGCTGCAGCAGCAGCAGACAAGCAGCAAACAAGCAGCAGCCAGGCAGCAGCAGTAGCAGCAGGCTTCAATGCGCACAAACCCAGGCTGCAAAGCACACACAGGTACCACTTCCTCTACTTGAAGTAAGAACACCGACAGCGCTCGCTTTGTGACAACCAGTTTGCAACCTAGCGGCGGCTTTATTGGATTTCTGGTGTGCACTATGTGCATGGAAAAGTCATCTTCTGAGAAAAAGTCTATCGGCTAAACACCAGCAGGACGCAACTTTGCATCGACTTCCAAAAATCTTTCCCCAAGCTGGGACGCACAATTTATCCAAACGCATCGACTTTCACATCTTGGAGTAGCTCATGATTGTGGGTTGCCAGAAACTACTGTATTTCTTGACAACTGTGCAGCCCAGAATGACAGGACCTCGAAAGGGAACCTTTAGCCATCTCAGTGTGTTTGGTGGTCTTTCGCTCCTATTAAGATTGTTTCCCACGGCTGTTAGCTGGACACTCCTTGATATTGATGAGCTTTGATTACTATGTACTAAATGGTTTCTGCTGGCACTGCTGGCACCCTGGCCAAGTAAATATATATATATATATCTTTCGGAACTTTGGCTCCTTTGCCCTTGATAGAACCTGCTTCTATCATACCCCTACGCGTGCAGCTGCACGTCCAATGAGTGTTGGTCCCATTCCGTTTCCATACTATACCAACCACACGCCGTCTTTTGCGCTTCGACCTTTTGAGACCTTGAAATCCTTGAAGGATTTTGAAGCGGTTTCGTCCCCGTCTCTAGAAAACTTGGTCTCCCCACTCTTCAAGAGCTTGGCATGTTCATCCACAGGTGTGTCTAAGGACACACCCATCACAGCCAACCGGGCCTTGCCATGATCGCAGGGAGAAGAAAACTCCCAAGAATCCGTCTTTGCACAAACTTGACTCGCTGATGGGAGGATTCACCAACGCGATTAAAACACAGCAGCACGATGGCGGTCGATCTATAGATTGAATGGACCTTTCCCACATTTGCTGGAGGTGCCGAAGGCATCTGGGCCCATGCAAAAACTTGTCGCTAGATTAGATGCTCTTGAAGGTTTCAAGTCTCTCGCGGGTCTGTGACACGCTCCCCAAGTTCCCTCGCACCTTCAGCTTGAACCGGATGAAGGACGTGGGATTCTTCACCGAGGGACCTACGGACTCTTCCAGAACTGACCGCCAGCCACTTGCATTTTGGGTCACATAACGTCACATACTAGTAGTTTCTTGCTACCAGTAGCGATGCTCTTGTTACTAGTAGCGATGCCCTTGTTACTAGTAGCTTCTTGTTACTACCAGTGGAAGATAAGCTTTGAATCAAAACTGCTGTGAGTCAATGGCCTCATGGATTTTTCACAATGAGCTTCTATCGCCGCATGCCCTTCCCAGGGTGAGGATCATCTCCTTGTTGGATGGTCTCAAACCCTTTCAAATGGGCTATCCTATCCACGTTGTGTGTGTAGATGATCCATTATTTTCACTGAAGGGTCTGGCCCGCTCACCACATGCGGATGGCTCAAGATTCTCGAGGATCCCTCGCATTTTCACCGCCTCGATCAAGGACTTCCTGCAAAAGTCCCAAGGCATCTTCCTGTGGAAGACCTTAGCAGTGCCGGGGGCTGGTCAAGCCCCACCCAAGACCCATATCAATCAGAGTCAATCAAAGTTATAAGTTAGTGACAGTATATGCCATAAATCCATAGTAAATTAGTTACATGAATAACTCCGTGCCAGGGCCACTCTCTGTGCCATCTTTGCTACAACGACACGAATGTACTTTATATATATATATATATATTTTTTTTAATTACATGTAATTACATACAGTACATCCTTGGGTGAAAGGGTGAAATGACTCCCAAATGCAACATGTCCCGCGAAGTCAACAATCGCATTTCACCTTAACACACCAAGAATGAACAACATGCGGAGGCGATCCTAGGACCCTTGACACCTCCCCTTGCGGCCAAGCACTCACTTGCGCACCCCCAAATAACCTCACTTGCGC